TATAAGACAATGTTAGCCAAGAAAACTTGAAAAAAGTGACTTCTCTTATTAGGCAAAATAGAGAGGTATATACCGGTTAATAAATTTTAGCTTTTATTGATATTTGAAAGTGTGTATCGATATTGTATTGGATGATATAGCGATATTAAATGACAGCCGTAGTCTGTACTGGTAGCCCATGAAAGATTTTTATATTAAAAAGGGGCTACTTTTATACATGTACATTTACACCATGAATAGCTGTGATAAATTCTACATTTAATCATTCACTTAAATTTAAATAGAACAGAGAATTTGGATACACTTACACTGTACTTTTCTGTCTTGATTAAAAATATTAAGATTTTTGACAAGTATTTTACTTCATACAATTTACAGATGCTTCACCCCCGACACTTCACCCTAGACCCTTTTTTGCAGACACTTCAGCCCTCGGACAGTTCACCCCTCATTTTAAGAAATTTGATTGAGACACTTCAGTCCCCATATTTTTTCTTTTGTGTTTAACAATTATTTCTGTAGAAAATGTTAAATGTATTCAATAGTGATTGAGTATCTTTATTGTTTTAACCAAGACGTTAAGATATATATGTCATAACATATTTTATTATTATGCTATCATGTAATTGACCAAAGACATAGAGGATATTCAAGTTTTTTCTATAGATACATGATTTATTTTCATCGAGTGGTATGAAAATAAATATTTCATCAGTGGCGGTAGCCACGAGTGAAATATGGTAATTTTCATGCCACAAGATGAAATAAATCATGTTTTTATAGAAAAAACTTGAATTTTCTGTTTATTAATATTATATACATTTTACTCTTTTTTTGCGATAAAAATGAAGGACTTTCCCTTAAAATTTGTGTACTGGCAGAATTTAAAAGAAAGTTAAGTCCGGCAAGACACCATGCAGTGAAAATATGGAAAATATGTTTCACTGCAGTGAAAAATAAATTTTTACAGTGAAAATACGGAAAATGAAAATACGCATTTTATTTCATCAATATTTCTCAATATTTCATTTATAAGACGTAAATAATAAAATGGATATATTGTTTCTTTTGCCCTACAAAAAAGGCTCATATCACAGTTACTGGAAAATTTTTAGCTCACCTGTCACAAAGTGACATGGTGTGCTTTTGTGATCGCTTTTCGTCCGTCCGTCATCCGTCCGTAAACTTTAACTTTAAATGACATCTCCTCATAAACCACTAAGCCAATTTCATCCAAACTTCACAGAAATGTTCCTTTGGTAGTCAACTTTAAAAATTATTCAAAGAATTAAATTCCAAGCAGAACTCTGGTAACCATGGCAACAAAAAGAAAAAACTTAAAATATCTTCTTTTAGAAAACCGTAAGAGCTAGAGCTTAAATATTTGGCATGAAACATCATCTAGTCAGTGTCTACCAAGTTTGTTCAAATAAATGCCCTGGGGTCAAAATTGGTCCCGCCCGGGGGGGGGGGGGGTGTCATTGATTTTCCTTATTTGTATATAGTAAAAACTTAAAAAATCTACTTTTAAAAAACCCAAATAGCTAGAGCTTAGTTATTAAGCATGAAACATCTTCTAGTGGGTGTCTACAAAGTTTGTTCAAATAAAAGCCCTGGGGTCAAAATTGGCCCCACCCCAGGGGGTCGTTCTTTTTCCCTTTATGTTTATAGCAAAAACTTAAAAAATCTTCTTTTAAAAAACCTTTAGAGCTAGAGCTAAGATATTTAGCATCAACATCTTCTAATAGGTGTCTACCAATTTTTGTTCAAATAAGGGCCCTTGGGTTAAAATTGGCCCCACCCCAGGGATCATTGATTTTCCTTAAATGTATATATACCATAAAGCAATGTTAACCTTTTCCCTCATGTAAGCGTGTTTCGACGGCTTTTCGCCCCCCCCCCCCCCCCCCTCCCTTTTTAAGGCCTCAACCATTGAAAAAAATGCTCTATTTAGGCCCCAAACACTGGTTTTCGTTTGAGAAATGTTTGTTAAAAAAAGTGACCACTTTTTCGGCGCGGTCCCCCATTCAAATGTTACATCAGGGGGTTGCCAGAAGGGGGATATATCCCCTTCTGTTTGGGGGTTTGAAGGAGGGCAGAGTCCCCTCATCGCCAAGAAAATTTTGGACATGTGACAAGCTTAAAATGGCCTCAGGTCGATCTTAGGGTAACTAGTAACCGACGCTGAAAAGCCTTTTACTCTATCTCTATTCATTGAGAAGTTGCAGCACTTTGAAATCAGTTTTGATGGAAAAAAAACAATGCAAAATAGTGATTTTTGGCAATTTGAGACGTCCCCCCCTTGCCATGGTAACAGGAAATTTACGATTGAGCATGCTGTTACAGAGGCTATGGTGTAGTCAACATTTGTGCCAAGTTTCATCAGTATTGAAGCATTTTTCATAGTTTCATAGCAGTTTGAACTTGTTACAGGAGGCTTTTCAATGAAAACGGCCATTTTTCGCAATATGCTCATGGGGTAAAAGGTTAAGATGGTTTTATCAGACAAACAGAACTTCCCAACCTTTTCCGTGTAGTCTGCAAAAATATTTTCCGAAGTATTGATTTACCTAAAATGGGGTTAAGTTATTGCGCATGGATATTCAAACTAGAATTCCCCAGGTGTTGCTTATTTTTGAAAGTCGCAAGTTCTCTTACAAATGTAACTTTAAATAAAAGGAAAAACTTCAAAACAAATAAATCATTGTACTGTTTAGCATAGAAATCAAATGTCTCTCTGATTGATGAAGTAATGTGGATGCCTTACTGGTAAAAAAAGACTACTGGACGAAAATGATAAACGACCAGAAAACTGCTAGGGGACGGAAACTGCTAGGAAAACCAGTATATTTTTATCTTTCATACAATATTATTTATTTTACATACAATATTATTTAGTCCTTTAATTAAAAAGTTATTAATCAAATAATATTAAAAATAATTTAAATAAATAAAAAAATTGGATGAGGGGTGAAGTGTCTTGACGGGTGAAGTGTCTGCCGTCTGGGGGTGAAGTGTTTTCCTACCCTTCAGACAATAAAGCTCTATATAAAACAGTTGTTTAAGAAATAATATATCCCAAACAGTGATTCTATCACTCAATAACATCACTGTTTGGAGTTCGGATGCGAGGAATTATATCACGAGGGCTTAGCCCGAGTGATATAACATGATGCGCATCCGAACGACAAACAGTGATGTTATCAAGCGATAAAATCACTGATTTGGATATATTATTTCGATTCTAACACAACATCAACAAATAAATGTTGCCGTACTTGATAGTTAAGCAAATTTGCGCCTGATTTGTTTCCGTACTTATTTTCAGCGCGTCGGATTTTTTAGTGGTTACGTCACGTGTATAATGATTACGTCACATGCATAATAACAAACACTTTCTGTTCTTCTATGTTCAATAGGAAAAAATGCGGGTCTTGTTAGAATTGGAAATTTAACCCTACTAGTCTCTAGTTGCATGTCACATTTCTACTTTTAAATTTTTATAATATTATGCTTAAAGTTCCTTTTATCTGAGTGTAAGCTAAAGAAATACATATCAACGTACATCTACTTACCAAAAGTTTTTAGCAAATTAAGTCCTGAATCCAGGTCGGCAGGTGAATGATTTGTACATCTTTTTCTCGAGTGTATATTTGTAAAATGGAGGTTTTTTTTAACATTTTTGAAACCTCATCAAAGAGTGTATTGAATATAAATCTTCAATTTTCTTCCATATTCTCTTATTATAACTTGATTGCATTCATTATAATGTTGACTTTTGTAGATGTCAAACCGTATCCGAAATATCAGTCCGAAACACTATTATACTTATAGCTCTCCGATTTATCGCACGTTCCCAACATCGTGTAAGGATTGGGATATCCAGGAAACATACTGTTTCTTTTTTAAGACAATAAAAAGTCAGTTCTGCATTCGTAAAATACGTTCTTCATACAATAAAGCATTCATTTAAAATGTTAAAATATTCAGAAAATTGCCTCCACTGGAACGGAAATTTCCGGTTAGATGCGTTGTTTGGCTAATATACGAACGAATTATTTTCATCGGATATTAGGCCTATTATGATTAAATCTCCGTCGATTCCAAAATGGATAGTAGCTGGATTTGTTATTTGAGAAAGGGAATGAACAAATCGTCTGCTAATCGGCCATTTTTTTTCTTCATTTTTATCCCTTAACTTTTTCCCTTAAAAGTTAATGGAGCATATGGGCTACCTTAATATTTAAGGGGAAAATCGGCCAAAATTGAGGAATTTTTGTCCTAAGGAGTTTTATGAATAGCAACTAAGGAAATTCTTAAAAAGTAAGGGAAATTCTTAAAAAGTAAGGGAAATCTTACGTTTTTTAAGGGAAATCTTAGAATCTAAGGGAATTTTTTCCCTTAGGAGCTTTATGAATACGGCCCCTGGTTAAAAGTAGTGTGTCGGATTAGTTTGAAACAATATGTTTGTGTTCCCCACCTAATTTGCGTTACGTTTAAGGAGAAGTTGCAGTACTTGAAAAGAATATGTTAATTTCGTTGACAGTAAACAAGTCTGTCTTATTTAGGCACGTGTATTTGTATATTGGTACATGACCTAAACGTCTTTAGAAACCAAAACTTAAAAATGAACAAATATCAGTTAAGATAGTCCAAATACTAATAATTCAGAACAGACACAAAGCTGTGGCGCATGGCTGAGCAATTTTTGAAACGTACGTCTGCCGGAGTAATATATGTAAAAAATGATTCGGAAAAAAGCAGGCACGTGCGTTAAATTTTTACAGGTGTCGCAGGTTTTTAGATTTGGACAATTGCCAACTTTTGATACACATGTATATATGACTGGAAAAAAATCAAATTTATGATAATGACACTAGCGGGTGTTCTTTAGAACGGACTTGCCATACTCAGTTTGTACATGATCGATGAATATTGTGAATGTGGCAATGCTAAAACATATATTCCGTAATGTTGGAAACAAAACAAATTGGAAGCAATTGTGTTTTGTACAATTTTATTGTCGCAAAAGGTAAATTGCCTATTTACAAACGGGGCTGAAAACTGTTTCCATTTTATCTCTAAACGTGTAATAAGGAAAAATGCCGTATGTTTAGTAGTTCATAAAGAATACTAACTTATAAAAGTTAAAATAAAGTATAATGTACAGTACATAATTTTTTTCTCTCTTTTTTACATTGTATATCTTTAGTCAAGTTTAGAAAAAAAACTGAGTAGCATCGTTCTAATGTCAAATGTCCAGAAAAAAACAGCTAAACATTACAACGTCATGTTGTTGTTTTTTAAACAAATTGAAGTGTTGGTTTTTTTCTGCCTCGTTTTCTTCATCTTCATGCCGAAGTCGATTTCTTCATTTCATTTAATGGTTTTCGTCCTGGAAGAATCAAAAGAGAGAAGAATAAAAAACGTGACTGAAAATGTAAATATACAATGTATCTTACAATTTGAAAACGTAATGGTAGAGATATGGATCCAATTAAAAGTTAACAAATGTAACATCGGCCTCTTGTTCATTTGTTTACACTTTAAATGAAAATTGTTTTATTACTTGACTGTGCAAAAATAATTGCAATTCGGCCTTTTTGTATACTAGACTTTATGGATAATCGACGAATTGCTCCAATTAATGCAAAACTAAGTTCAACTTCTCCCTTTTAATGAATAAAAAAATATCTCTCGCCATGTTCACTTGGATATGCATAGTCAAGTGTTATTTTGTTGGAAAAGTAAATGATTAATTACAGGCATCAATGTTAAGAAGTATAGAAAATGAAAACAAACACAATGTATTGACTATGATGAGTAACCCTGTAACATTGAATTTATCCAAAGATATATCAACCTGGTATTGTCGGTGGTCTGTCTCGATTTACGGCATTTTCATAAGTACTCTCAAAGTCGTGAACGTCACTGTCTTCTGCCAAACCTTGGTTATCATTTACATAACCGTGCGTCACGTCCGTTTCATCACGTCCACTTCCGGTTTCATTTGTCACGTTTTCATGGTTTTCATGCTTGTTACTAATTATAGCTGGTTGGTGGTCGGGCGGTTGAGGGGCCTCTGTACAGGGCATTCGGGAACCATCAAAAGTCTCGTGCATAGCATCACGTGGTATGTATTGAATCATCTCGGGTGGTTTGGCACCGGCTGTGGCATTTACAGATTCATATCTAAAATAAACAGTTCAGAAAATTAACAACACTACTGTAGAGGACTAGAACATCTCTTTTTGCATTAGTTAAGATTATTTCTTTTGGTGCCCCCCAAGCACCGGATCAGATGGCATCGTAAATTGAATTCAGTTGATCTCATAAAATTGTTGTTTACTTTTATCACATCTTACACAGTCAAATAGGACTATAATAATACATATTTATTTATTTTTATTTTTTCTCAAATAGAGATTTTTTTGTAAGTTTCCGTTAATTCAATAAACAAAGGAAAAGGTAATACAATATGATTTTGTTATATATATATACTGTAAATATTTTTTACCTGCAGCCATAGACAAATGCATAAGCTTTCAGAAAATGTATTATTTTACCGATTTTGATATCTGGTTAAAAAGTTTTACTTGCTACAAGTTTTTGGTTTAGTAGGCACGCGTGATATTTTAACTGGCTAGGAAGTAGCCTATCTCTGTTATCTATGTCTCTGTATATATAGATGAAAGTAAGAAAATGTATAAATGTTACTTACTGAATGGTACTCATGTCTTGTAGATCTGGAGGAAAAGAAGATAAAGCATTGATGAATCTACTAGTATATTGTAATATATGTATATTGTTGAAAATTAAACTAAAAAAAAAAACTAAATAAAGCAAGAACTGTTATGCACTAATAATTTATTATATACGTTTACTTTCTAGGTTGTGCTCGTGCTTCTATATCGCCGGATACCCACGGTTGATTAATGTGTAACTGTTAATGGTTCGGCCGTCGGTATCCGACGATAATGCTTCTATAATGAATTAACCTAGCCAAAAGTAACATTTATATCTATAAATGATGAAAATAATTGCCAGCCAACATTGTTTTACCTATATAGGCCCCTGATGCCGTAACCTCCAATGTCATTCTGAAATTGAAAGAAAGCAATTTTTATTGAGTTTAAGAAACTGCTAGAATTCTTTTCCGTGTACAATATACATTTTAAATAAATTGTATCTTTACTTTTGCCATCATTTTTGTCACTTATGCTAGTTTATAATGTTTTGGAAAGCAGTTTGTCTGCAGTTTGCGAGTTAAAAAAATACAAAAGACACGGAAAATGACAAAAGTGTATAAATATCGATAACCCTGTAATGCTATGCATATTACATAATGCAAAATATGTGTGAATTTTCTGAATTAATCATTATATTTCTGCCACAAAGGGCGGCAATTTTGACACAGTTTAGTTGCTTTTGAAAGCTGCACACATTCAGATGAGCCAAAATAATTCAAGAAAATCAATATTGAGAAAAATGTTCCAAAATTGTAAGAAAAAGTTATATTTATATGTTATGTGCGTTTTAAGACTGATTTTGCAGTATTTTATTACCATATTTCTACTGCGGTACTAAGGCAGTAAGAGCTATTTTTGCATAATTTATGTTGTCGACTTTTTGGTAATTTTCTTGGATTGTAAGTGCCGATTGAAATTACTTTATTTATTCACCTCACAATATATTAAAATATATTTTCAAAATTTTCATGAAAATTAACACGTATCTGGTGGCGTGCTGATTTAAGTCACACATGCTAGCATAATTTAGCTTAAAGGGACTCCACTGAGATCTTTTGATGTTATGGATCTAAAAAAATCGGAATTAATGTTCAATTTGATGAAGGTCTTGACCAATGATTAGTATTCGCTCTTTCTGTTTTTCCAGAACAATTATTATAATCGTGTTTAAAAAAGAATAGCGTTGCAACGCTCTTTATTCAATTCGGGCAAAGAATAGTTCAACAATACGATTTTCAATTTATTTATGAGTATATTTCTTACATATCTTTTGAAAATGGTTTATATAAGAACTTCAAATTCTTATTTTAGGCTATTGGACCTCAGTGGAGTTCCTTTAAGTAATTTGTTTATGTGGCAATATCTTTTAACGGATTAAATCCTGATGAAGGTCCGGCGTAAAACAGAAACTGGTGGACAATATTTTCCCAATAACCAGATGTGTTCACTTCCTTAGATTTTGATTTTGTCCAAATCCTTGATAAATTTTCAAAATAAAATTATAAATGACGCTGAAATTCTGTATCGCTTATACTCACGAAGGAGGTGTCAATGGCAGCGGTCTCTTGTGAGCTGTAAAAAAGATAGAATTTGGAATAACACAATGATCGCATTTATTTGCCTCAGTATTTTATGTTATTATTACAAAGTAAAATTTTATTCTTTTATTACAAAGCAAATGTAATAACGTAGGGGTATATAAAAATACGATATTGTAATTATTACATGTTGTTTGACGAAACTGTTGCCGATAAGATTGTTTAAAATTTATTTTCTTCTTTGATTCATTAACTGAGATGTATTTTATGTAGTTACGGAAGTTAACGGAATGTTCCGAGCCAACTGGAACTAGTACACTAATCAATTGTCATACGGTCTTTAAAAGATATACATTTCAATCTCCATGAAATAGGGAATTAAATTGATAAAATTTATCAGTAACACATTTGAAATTATCGAAAACTCACTTGCATATCATCTTTTTTTTCGTGTATTTCTTTTTATAGTAACATGAACTTAATCAATGTACATGTACAGAAATGTTCTACACTTTTCTTATGAATAATAACCAATAATCCACAAGACCAACGGAAATTTCTATAAATATCATTAGAATATATCGGTAATGCTAAATTCTTAAAAAAGAGTGCGACAATCTTTTTATAATTAAGGTAGATTTGATATTGTATTATAAACATTTTTCATTACCAATTATTAGTCAATCATAATTATAATAGCCATTTTTATTAAATATATTTTACAAATTCAACTCAACTTTGACAACGAAATAAATATTGCAAAAGAAAATTCCTCGAAGGTATATGTGTGCTACTTGGATGGAAAACAGACTTTTGACCACGTTTGGCATAACGGACTGTTTTACAAACTTCTTGTATGGTGTTGACTACACTACATTTGCATCTCTATATTCATTGTATGTCAATTCAGAATGTCAAGTTCGTTGTCAAGGATTGATATCTGATAGCTTTATTGTCCAACAAGGCACAAGGCAAGGCGGTAAGAGTTCGCCATTGATGTATCTAGTCTATATCAATGAATTAATTGAAGAACTTGAGGATAGAGGCGAAGGAATGTGCATCTTCAATTTCAATGTGTGTTCTCCAACTGTAGCAGACGATATGGTACTTGTTTCGTTATCAAAAACTGGTTTAGACAAAATGTTAAGTACATGTTGGGACTATTCAAAGAAATGGAGATACTATTATAATGCAGAAAAATGTAAAGTTGTCGTGATGAATGAACAACACAAATTAATACATTGCAGACGATTTAGTATGGGGCCTTACATTATTTCTGAAACCGAAAGCTACTGTCATTTAGGTGTTATCAGTGAAAAGATTCTATCTACTAAACCTAACATTGAAAACGCATGTTCAAAGCTGAAGAAAACGTACTTCAGCATAGCCGGAAGTCTTGATGTGGGTTCTATCAGCCCTGTTACTTTAAGTAAAATATACAAATCTGTGGTGCTACCCAGAGCACTTTATGGTTGTGAAATATGGAGCTCCTATTCTAAAGACGATATACGTTTACTCGAGACTGCTCAAAACGTTTGTTTAAAACATATGCAACAGCTTCCAAGAAACGCATCTTCAAACTATACTCGTATTTGTCTTAATATTACGAGTGTTGAGACCCTGATAGAATATAGGAAACTGCAGTTCTTTGGGCAATTGTGTAGATTGTCCGGCATATTTTTAGCGAAGGAAATATTCAATTATCGTTTAACCAGATATCATAATGGATTTCCGGAACGTTTTGGTTTTATTCCTGATATATATAGGATCCTCTGCAAATATTCTCTGACTGATGTAATGTACAATTACTTACAATCGAGTTTATTTCCGAGTAAATGGCAGTGGAAAGATATTCTCGTCAAAGCAGTGCTTAAGTCGGAAAACCAATATCAAATAGATTGTATTGTTTCAGCTGGACATTTGTGGGTTTGTAATAACCTTATTCGTGTTAGCCAGTGTTCGAGCCTATGGTTCGTAAGCAGGAACACTCCTTCCCTATCACATATCTGCAGGAAACTCTCAAGAAACATCGCTTTATTGGTTTCACGACAATATGAGCGTCAGTGCACAAAATGTAAACTTAATACAGAAAATATTATCCTACACCAGATCTGTTTCTGTATCAGAAATACCCGAGAACGTGAGAATTTGTGGAACATGCTTATAGACTGTCTGGGATTAACTTGGTTCCGTGAGTTAATAACAGATTGTCCTCTTGAACAATGTAAAACTATAATGGGGCTCGCCGTGAAAACTGACGAACGCATTTTCATAAACTTCTCATTAACTAAATCACTATTACGTTTATTAGATTAAATGATGTATTGACATGAATTGTGATACATTTTCGAACGTTATATGTTGTGTATATTGTAATTTGTATTTGTACCAATGAGAAATGTTTTCTGATACGTATGTCTTATCTGTAATTATGTAAGAAATAAACCATGATATATTTAATCCTCGAGTGCTAGGAAACTAAAATATAAATACTTCTATGAATAAGTAGAATATCTCATGAATTATTTATTAAAGTTTTACACTATTCAAAACTGTATAAAATCGGGTTTTCCTTTCATAATCTTTCATCATTTTTGTATAAATGAAGAAAATACTAAAATAATTAACTACAGCTTTATATTAACTATATCTTCTGTTAAGAAGAAGATATGACTTTTATTTAGCACTTTTTGCCAATTCCCCTTCATTATTTTTAAGAAATCAATAAAAGGTGTTTCCCACTTTAAAAAGCTTTAGTTTCGATTTCGTTGAAGCTATATAAAGGAGAAATGCTTACAATCATATTAAGGATACACTTGTAGTTGCCATGTTTTCTTGTTAGATAATAGATCAATAAATTAAACACAGGTGTGAATTACTTTTGCCATAGAATGAAAGATTTGATATAGATCCCACAATATATATGATTTTTGTTTTTGTTATGATATATTTTTGTAATGTTATCGCATAATATTTAAATGGTATTATACATGTATTGTTACTGTAAATATTGTATCTGTAAATACTGTTATGCTCTTCATCTTTGGAGGAAATAAAAGTATCTATCTATCTATCTATCTATCTATCTATCTATCTATCTATCTATATTTCTATATACGTACATGTATTATAGTAGCACAAATTAAGGTCTAATCAGAAAAAGAAAAATACCTTTCATTATTTTGCGCCTTCTTTTGCAGACGAGATGTATCCAACATATGGCAGTTCCCAAAAAAAGTAACGCGCCGACAGCGAAAAACGCAATAGACGCTGTGAAAGTTGTTGTAGAAATACAGTTTGTCATCTGGAATTAACGTTACAACTAAAATGAATTCTAAATATATTTATTACAGAGTTAGGAAAAAAACCAGAAAAGTAACAGAATTTTATTATCTGTTCAAGTATGTGTTTGTTATTAAATTAAATTCCGACAAGCCATCGTATTTATTTCAATGGCTTATTGTGTCATTCTCTCAGACAAAACGAAAGAAGTCCAAACTGCAACAATTAAAAGCATTTTAAAAAGTATAGAAACCCCATATGACGTCATACTCGTTTCAACCAATGAATTTCAATTTATTTCCTCATAATTATATAATTAAAACACATTTGAACTTCAATTCATTTGTTTGATGAACGTCTGTCGGCTCTATCGGGCTGTTTATATAAGGACAGAACATGAGAATATCAACTGGAATCCTCTTTAATATACATGTATATAAACGGTTTCACTGTATGATTTATTGCGAGTCTATACAATTTAATGTATACGAGTATGGCTTAATAGCTTATGGAGAGCACAAGTACCTGTTACCACTGTCTGATTTATTGCAAGGTTCATTTGTCAATCAAAAATGTATCATTTCTTGCGAGCACAAGAAGAAGATGCGTAGACTATAGACAAACATCGAAAAGAAATTCTTTAAAAGCCCATTCTAACTGTTAAATCATTGTGTTTAGCTTTTGTAGTCTTGAATTCATGAGAAACACGAAAAGAAAATTAGAATTAACTTACATTTGTAAATATATCACACGAATATTCTATTATCCGCTCTTTTTGAACAATGTTAATAATTAAATAAATCTACGTATGCTTTTATTTGCAGCTGATGATATTTTTTACGTAACAATTGTGGGTTTTTTATTGTTGTGACGGTGTGTGAAAACCCCGAACGAAACTCGAAGAAGAAAAAAAAACACTTCCGGCTGATAATTTCATTGTTATCTTTGATTTTGATAATTGTTGGTTATTGTTAAGTGAAGTTTTACATATCGATATGATAAAAGATTGATTGTGACTTAAACGTGTTATATTTACTTAATGCACTTACAAGTTATGTGCATATCAGGTGTTATTGTATGTTTGTATTTTTGTATAAGAATGGTTTATTGTTTATTTGTTGCTTAAAAAAGATCTTAGATGTTGTTTAAAAAATGACAACAATGTATATGATACAACAGAAATCTATGGTGGATGATTTGTACCATGTCGTGTTTTCGATCCGCGGGGCGCCAGCCGAAAACACAGCAAGGTGGTGACTTTGTCGTATTATCTTGTGCCCCGCGGAACGAAAGTACGACAAAATTAACGTACTTTCGTGATTTTGCCGGGCGCCCCGCGGATCGAAAATACGACATGGCACAAATCAGCCACCATATAAATCGGATGCTCCTATCTCTTCATTTTTGCTATTTCAATAATTGTTTTTCGTTAGAGCGTCGAGCTATCACGTAAAATGCAAAATATATCAGTTTATTTCCGACTTGATTTTGTTCACCAATCTAAAGCAATAATTCCTCGTGATTTTAGCGTTCCTGGTCATGTGAACGCTTATCAAATATGTATAAAATACTGAAAGTGAGAAGAATATAGATAAAGGGATGTGTAAGCTTAAAGGTTTGAAAACATTCTATAAAACCATTATTTAAACCTTAAATTACTCGAATTTGCTCTTTATAAAGAAGGAAAATTTATTCGTTTTTAGGCATAATGTGCCTTATCTCTTCACCATAAAATAACATATTTAGGGACTCAATTTATGAAAAATATAATTAATAGCAAACACGTGCTATTTTTTTATTTTTAATGACATATCTTAATGACATAATTTAATGTTAGAATATGAAGAAAATCCTAACAAAACATGTTTTCTTATGATAAATCATTCTACAAGTATATGACAATATCTCAGTAAGTATATCAACATTACATGTATATAAACAATATATTATATATAATAAATATTGACACATTTTATCGTCCATACTTTTTTCTGAAATAATTACACATCCAAGATTATATCTCATGATTTCTAAAAAGACATAAATGTCACCTTGTAATCTGTGCCTCTCAAATAAAGATTATGTTCTGTTCTGTTCTGTACAGACAACAGCATAATTTAAAATTTGGCATAACTTTGAATATCAGACGGTATGGGTCTTTGGTCTGCACATGTTAGTTACTTCCGGCGAGCGGTAAAAGTTTAATTATGTTACTGATTATTTTAATGGAAAAAAAAGATAAAAAACAACAATTAAAATCAGTCGATGTGATCGCATTCAAGGACGGGGGATGAAATATCGAAAGAAAAAATATACAAATAAATTATTACAACATAAGCTCTAATGTGGTGTTTGACTCTAATATGGTGTTTGACAAACAGTTTTTATTAGAAAATGTTTATAATGAAATATAACTCTGTCTAAAATATAAAAAAAAGACTGACCCATTCTTTTGTAAATCGAACGTTACCGGTAAATTCCGACGGATATTTACAGACATTTCATTGGGCCGTGTGAGTTATTTATCGTTCTTGCTAAGTAAAAGGAATAATAGCATTTTTTTTTTGATTTTCACCTGTTCACTCAATATATATCCTTGGATGGGCATGATGTCACTTTAACATAAACTCTAGAGATATTCGCAGATTGACCTTACTTCATTTTTAAAAAAGAACAGAAAAACAGCACAAAACAGAGGAAACCACAAAAAATCATACATAACATTCTTAAAAAATAAATATATCATTATAAAGCAGTCTATTCATCTTAGTTTAACTAAAACTTAATTTTACAAATAAACCTTTATACATTTGTTTAATGATGAATAATCTAGAATTAAAAATAATCAATTGACTATTCATAATAATTGTTTTTACCAAGGAAATAGAAAAAAATAATCATGGGCGTATATTCTCTTTTTTACTTAGATATTCACGACATCTATGAAAACATTTCATGCAGTTCCACATTCCGTTTGTATAAAAAGTCACTCACACTGTAATACATATGACGACAATCATATTTATACATGTATGAGGAATACACCTCCTTTTACGAGGGATACTCCTCCTTATATAAGGAATAATCCTCCTTATATGAAGGACACTACTCCTGGAATAAGGAATACTCATCATTTTATGAGGAATACTCCTCATTAAATTCTTATATGAGGAATACTCCTTACATTAGAAATACTCCTTATATGAGGAATACTCCTCCGGCATCAAGACGTGTGAAATTGTTATCTTAAGTTATTTGATCTTACTATGGAAACTAATTCTATGCCACATATATAAAGTTATTTAATCGATTAGAATATTCCAACCTCGCCATTTTTCGTGTCGTTGATTGATTTTAAAAGCGCTAAGTTGACAAAGATTTTAAGACGATCTGTGTTATATTATCGCTTGTCTGGTTCCTCCATATACAGAAAGTGAAGCGAACAATGCCGATTTTATATATTTTGGTTGTTTTTTGTTGCTTCTGTGTGACACATCAAGATATTTGTGACACAATTAATGTGGCATTGTTCAAGAAAACTGTCCCAGTCATGTTACAATGGCAGTCTGCAGACACCGGCATCTTAAACTGTATCAGAAGAACAAAGTACGTGACCATCATGCCTGCAACCTAAAAATAGAAATAGATTAAACTATTTCGTGAAAATCGTGCACGTTTGTGAAAGTCATGCAATAAGTATGTTATTTGTATAAAGAAATGCTATTTTGTGTGAAACACCAACATTTCTCAAAGGATTTCAATAAAATTTTTCACAAAAGTATTATGAACTAAAGAATTTTGAAGATTTAATGTAATGATATAGTCGTTCGTTCGTTCGTCCGTCCGTCTGTCTGTTAGCAATTCATGCCACACTTTGTCATTCAAAATCTTTATATACGTATATATCAAAGGGATAATACTCTAATCATTTAATTCTTGTGAAGAAAAAAAAGTGAGTTATTACACTGTGAATATTTTTTTTTTAAAAATCAGTGTACAGCAGTATACATTCTGTTTTGTATTTTCATAACTGCTATACTGTCCAATCGGTTATATGTGATTAGCTCTCTAAAGATGAATAAATACGTACAACATTAGAAAAACATTTAAACGAATATTAGCTTCTGAAATTGTAAAAGATTACAGACGTCGGGTAAAGATCTCTTTATATGCACCCAACGATCTTTCCTTGAAATATGTTTCTGAAAGAAATTTTGACAGTTGGGCTGGCATTTTTATTATTTTAAAACAGAAAGACATTAACTATTTAGTTATCATTCAAACCCATTAAAGTTTTCTAAAATTAAATAGTTTTTGTAATAAAAATCTCATATTTGACCTATAAATGATATTTTGCGAAAGTAATTTCTTTGAAGGTAAGTAAAGTAAGTATATGTATCTCGAACCAATTCAGCAGAATATATGGAGCACTTATATGCACAAGTTAATTGTAACTTTGACCCCCGCCCCATCACCCCCTCCCCCCTTCACACACAGAACATATATAAACTAATGGGAATATCAGTGCCTTTGATTTTTGGATTTTAAAACCTCTGGTAAAGATCCACCTTTCATGAAAAGTCAGGCAATAAATTTTTTGCACTGTGAGTTAGACGATATGTCCTCGGCTATTTTCCCGCCAAAATAAAACCACGGAAAGTTAAAAATAGAGCTTATTTTCTCCGCCCACCCGCGGACTACACCAGGGATATGGTGCCTGTATTTCAATTAACTTGTCCAGAATACATGGATCACTTATTGAATCAAATGCAAACACTTTTATTGATATCCACCAAAACAAACATGGGTTGTGCCTTTGCATTTATGAATATATAAGTAAGTTATTTGCATTGAAATTCCCGAAAATAGTAGATCCCATGAGAGCTGAGCAGAAAATAATCGCAGATTTAGTTTGATCGAGTTAATAGGAATCAATAGGAAGTGCAACATTCCTCACTTTCTTTAGACGAATTTCCTTAATTATTACCACATATGCAGATCGACGTGTTCATATGGTATAATAAAATGTAACGTTACAAATTGATAAAATATTAATGTAGTAAAATATATTACTGTCAGAATGGTAGGCTTATCTATCACAAACATTTTCATGGCTGTAAGTCCAATCTGAGTGCCCGTCAAACGGTTTAAAAATAGCAACATCTGAAAAAGATTATGTAATATATTACAAGAAGGATTTGAAAAATGTCATACTATTTGGTGCCTGCAAAAAAGGTTAAATTAGTAAAATTTGAAACAGATAGTGCAATATATAAAAAAACATGTTTTTTTTTCTCTCACTAAAAATAGCTTCATTTTGACAGCTGTTAAATAGTTTAACAGTTGCATTCGAAACTAACGGAATAATATACATGTATATGGTATTTTAAGTAGCAATATTACTATTTCAGACACCCGTCCAGAAGAGAACTAGTATCTGAAAAAAAGGAATGAAAGTTGATATTTATGATCCTGAAATAATATCATATTTAATCAATTCTCGTAAAACGCTTAAAAATGAAAAGAGGGCTATATCAAATACAGATTTAACAAACATATTATACTTATACATAGGACAACTAAAATTAATGTCAGACTAACAGCTTTGATTACTTTGATTACTTATAGAAACATCACTTATAGTACGATACTATAATTTTCACTTTCCTTAAAAGTTAAGAAATAGCAACATATGAAAATAGAACCCAACATATATTTAAGATTCTAACCTAAATAGCATTATTTAATCATGATCATGTCCAATGGTTAAGAAATAGCATTATTTTTAAACAGAACCCACATATTATTAAGAATTTTCCTAAAAAGGTATTTTTTATGAGGAAATAGCATAATAGCAGCATATGGAAATGCAACTCAAATTTTTTCCTAAACCAGCATTATTCAATGAGCATGATAAATGGTTGATAAATAGAAGCATATGCAAATAAAATCCAACATATTATTAAGTTTTTTCCTAAAATATCATTATTTAAAATGGTTGAGAGATATATAAATATTTTGAAATAGAACCCGCATACCATTAAGATTTTTCCTAAAATAACATTATGCTATGACCATTAAAATGGTTAAGAAAAATCAACATTTTAGAATAGAGCTCCACATACTATTAAGATTTTTCCTAAAACAGCATTATTCTATGACCATTTAAAATGGTGAAGGAATATCAGCTCAACATATCATAAAGATTTTCCTATAAAACCATTGTTCAAGGAGCATGCCAAATGATTTTACAGACTGCATATTACAACAGATACAATATATCTGATATAGCATTATCATTCAGTTTATAAGGTGCAGATTATATTTTACTAATCTATATGAGGACTTAAGTTTTTTGTCAGTCTATGATAGAAACCATTTTCATTTCTGCTAAAATAGCATACATTTAATAAATAGAAACATCGGAAACACTTCAACCCGTCGGTTGAACATTTAATAATAACGTCGCCGATCATCTCTGTAGGTCATTATTGTCACGAACCGACTTCCAACTGGAACAACAATAACACAGACGACGACAACAACAACAACAACAAAAACTGTTAAAAAACTTACTTGTAATTGTACATCGTTTGATGTTGCCGAGAATCGAATACTGTAAATGTGATCTAAGGGAGAATGTGCCTGAAAATAGAAAAAAATATAAATATTTAAATATCATGACATTTTAGCAATCACAACCATTTGTACGCAGTTTCTTTAATTCAAAAATAATTTTCAAGTGAACTGCATTTTCTTTCAAATTGGCAATTTAAGAAAAGATGTTTTCTTATTCACAAATACTAAACAAAAAATCACCTAAGAATTAGTTTTTTTTCTAGTTACCAGACAAAGTTCAATTATATTAAGTAATGCCTCATATTTTCACCAAAGGGCACAGATATCGGTCATGGCTAAATCGATACAATAATTGTCTCTCCGATGTTACATCTTTAATCAAGATGCTTTAATTGTACTGATCTTTATCAATAAAATGACAGTGCTTAAATAGAAGCAACGCTGTTTCTTATTCCCAATTCTGTAAAATTAAGATAGAGTTAATGCATTCCTCGGAAATGAGACTGCATTATACTGGGACATCGTGGTATTCCTGTGTGACTTAAAAATAATTGTCAGAAATATCTAATTATCATAATGTCTCAAATAGATATATCTTTTTTTAACAGCTAAATCGTATTGGAAAATGTTTCAAATACTAGGAATATACATGTTTATCCGATAAAATAATTTGCAAAACTATATCTAAGTATAGATACAATTCCATCATGGTTTGTTGCTTATTTGTGATACACAGTTTAGATGAATCGTGCATTTCTTATAATGCTTTGCATGCATTATCACACACTCTTGCACTGGCTTTTATGAAAGTAAATGTATTGAAATCAACGATCGCGAGGACAAAAAAAAACCAACAATATTACAATTACAATTTTTTCAACACCTTTAACGTCAGTTTATAAATTTTTACAATTACTGAACTCAAATAATAAATATGAATTAATTCAGTTATCCAAATTTGTTAAAGGAGAAACACACTGTTAAATGTTGAGCGTTAAACATCATAACAGCTCATTCTCCTTTTCGTATGTCTTTACTTTTTTTAGTTCGTAGTGTACATATTATCATTTATTTTCTTGTTACTAGATAAATTAAGATTAATAATTTTGAAAAAGATGTCATGATTGCAATAACCATTATATTGACGTTATGCTTGTATATATTATTGTATTATAGATGATGTACTATGTACAAATCTTAATAAAGTATCTGTTCTGTTTTGTTCTGTTCTGTTAATTATTTTGCAACAGTTCTATTTAACAAAAAAAAATAAAAATAAAAATTAAATAAAAATAAAACAATAGCAATATTTTAACCCTATGTCTGGAAATATTAACATTAAGCCGGATCGCCTACGACTGCAAAATCGACAGTTCTTTTTCACCAAGGGAATGACCGATAGTTCACAATAAAATAATGCTTTGCCCCTTGAGAGGTTTTAATAACTTACTTTATGCATTCATAAACAATGTCCGTCGATAGATTACTTGTAGTTGGGCTTAATATCATTTTCTGCTTGAGGGTAAACAACTTTTTTGTATCAATGAAACAAACAAAAAAATACATTCATAATTTGAATTAATGTGATTTGACTGTCTAGTGAATTTTTATAATCATTTCGATTCTTCTTGTTTGTCCATAGGAGATGAAAGTACATGTATCTATTCATCGTCTAGGAATGATAATTTGTGGCACTGTATAACAGAGTAGTAATCAAAATCAATATATATACATATTTCTAATACAGTTAAATTCTAATGATAAAAATAAGATTTAACAAATGACGCAAGTCAATACATGTTATGGCATAGTAATTGAAAACAACAGCAACACAATACGAAGAAAACCTAATTATTCAATTAACATTTTTAAAGTACACTATCAAAAACTATAACAAATTTCTTTTCAAAGAATACATCTTCTTTGATAATATATAATTTAGTAATATTCTCATTTATTTAGATTATTGTATGAGCAGATGATCAAATCTCTTTAAAAGAGTGTTTATTAACTGTTAGAGACGTCAAGTCATGTAATAAAAAGCACGTTCCGCCCCTTATATTATTTCATCTTGTAATTTTATAGTTACATCATTTATTTTTGAATTTACATATTACCTATATACTAACTGAATGATTATACCAAAAGTATCACTTTCAAAGAATATAATTTTTTAATCAAACAACAATTTCCCTTATTCAGACCAAAAGATACTACAAAAGAACGAAGTCAAAGTCAAAGCACAAAGACACTTCTAAAAGCCAAATGAAAACTGATTTTGCCAAGAAAAAGACAAATAATCATTTAACCTGTGTGCTCGTAATTGTCCCATAAAAAGATAATTTTGCATTTATTAACACTAAAGGGGCAATATGGTTTATGCAATTAACATGTACATATCATTAAACCAGCCTTTCCACTTTCCCTTTCATTTCCTTCTTTTATATTTACATACATTAAAAGTAACACAAATGTGCTAGAGACAACATAAAGTAAATACATGTATACAATTTTTCACTTATTCACTGTTTACAAATTTTTTCTCAAAGAAATTATATAATCAGTCGTAATGTGCAATAATATATTCGCTGTTAGATAAATTTTGCTTCCAGAAGTTAAACAGAAGTTACAGCCGTTAGATGAAACTATAAAGTATATATAAACATTATTTACTTACATAAATATTTGTGAATCCTATTTACAATATTTCTAAGATAAATCAATTATGCATCAACTTTTATTGAAAGATGTTCACATGATTTCGATGATACATCCGTTTAGGCTTTTATCGTAATGCAAGAGAAATCAGGACACACTTTCTTTCAATACACTTTTTACATCATTAATTTGAAATTAAGATTTACTTTCCAGAACACAAATGACTTGATGCGAGGATACAAGGTAAAAGTATAATGTAGAATAAGACATTAACTTTAACAACGCTAAATATTTTGAATGAACTTGTCTATCTTGCAATTTTGACATCATGTTTAAGAAATATTTTTTTCAAATAATGCAGTGACTGAATTACGAATAGTTATGCCTGTGATCAGACGGTTTAGTTTATACAAATTCATTTTGGTTCGATTGTGTTGGAAGCTATAAGCTTATTGAAACACTCTCGAATCCGTTCCTGGGACCAACCAGTACTAAGCAATAAGTGTAAAGTTTCTAGCTCAAGGAAACAACGGCTTGCCCCTAACAGGGTTTGAACCCACAGCAATTCTTAATAGCGTTAACCACTTGGCCACCCCGCCACACAGACGGGTTGACCATGCTGACTGTTCTTGGTCTGCATTGGTCGTTTATTCGGTTTACTTACCTTTTACAGTTTAATTGCATAATGTTTTCTGTTGACGAAGCCCATTTATACTAATTATTTTCTTAAATTTTGTAATAATTTAACATTCCCTTACACATATATCGCAAGAATCAGCGTTTATATCATTTAAAAATAATAAACGATCATTTACAAACGACATGTAGTACGTAAATCAACAATTTGCAATTCTCTCATAGTGCGAGAAAGATTAGTTTAGTTAAATTAGTTGGTATATCAAAAATATTTATTTTTCATTTCAAACACTATGAAACAAAAACCCATAAATATTCATTTAACATTTTATAAGAAGACTACCAACAACTACTTACCTAAGTTGAAAACATTTTTTTAATATAATACAAGTACATCTTTAAAATATATATTGGTAAAATTCTCATTTACTTAGTCTTGTATGAGCAAAAGAATGAATCTGCCTGAAAGAATTTTTATTAACTGTTAGAGACGTAAAGTCATGATAATAATAAACAGTTTCACGCCCCTTACATTATTTCAACTTTTAACTTTATGGTACAGTACTAATTCTTGAATTACATATTACGTGTAATAACTGAATAATTACACCAAAAGTATCGCTTTCAAAGAATATAACACTAAAATAAAACAACAATTTTCTTTATTGAGATAAAAAAGATTTACACAAGAACAAAATCGAAATCAAACAGCGTGCAGAGCCAAAGAACGTCCTTTTCCAACAAAAAACAGACAACTTTTCCTGTTATCACGTAATTATAATTTTAGTAGATAATTACATATTTATCATTATATCAAAGGCGAAATATTGTACATGTATATTCATTCGCCTCTAAGAAGTTACAGCCGTTAGGTGAAGGTATAACATATAAATAACAATTCTAACTTATATAAATATTTATAAATTGTGTATGCAATATTTCCTAAGATAAATGAATTACGCACCAGACGGTGTTAAAAGATGTTAATAAATTTTAGGGTTATCATAATACAAGAGAAACCAAACTAAAATATTCCTAAAATACTCTTCTTTCTTTGCTATAAAAAAATGAAATTAAATATTTTCTTGCTGAAAATAAGTGACTTGACACAATAAAAGTATTTTGTGGAATAAGTCATCAACTTAGATTTCTTAAATGGACTCTTTCTATCTGGACAAAACCTTGCATCATATTTAGGAAGAATTTTAAAAATAATGAGTGACTGAATAATAAACCATGCTTGCCTTACCATGGTCAGATGGCACGGACGTGCTGGCTGATCTTGGTCTGCAGTTGCCATTAGGTCAGACTTTAAAACCAAAATTTGCATCTTTTAGTCAATTGCTCTAAGTATACCTTTATTTACAATTAAAAAAAATCAACAACAACAATATTACCTTGACATTGCTGATTGTAGCATGATCAGTTTGCTCCAGAAGTATCTTTTTTTAAATTTTCGGTGAAATGATATTCCCGCACATGTAATAACCTTTTTAATTAACAATAAGACCGTCTTGCAACGATTTGGACAACAAGATAAGATATAATACTTTAAATTAATGAAGTTTTCTCAATTATAAAATCACTCTTTAAAACAATACAACCACTTGAACAAATTAACTTAAGTAAATGCTTACAATTTAGAGTATTTGTAATGCTTTGCTATCGTTTCTTGTACTATGATGATAATTTTCATTTACTTATCTTCAGAAATTAAGGTAGTGATTTTGTGCAGATGTCAGATATTGATAGCAAGTAAAAAAGTTGCCAAA